CAAATGCATTGCCATTTATAGAAGAAAATCGTATTATAGAATAAAGACAAGAAGAAGAATCTTTTGTTGCATGTTGTAAGTTAAAAATTTAATATTTGATATTGTATAATATTTATGTATGTATCATATATTTAGAGCATGTTTACTGTTTAGAAACTTTAACTTTTACAAAAATACATTTCTTATATTATTATTGTTATTATATTTCTAGCACAACCTTCAACAAAAGCAAACAAAGCAACAATGATATCATTTACCATCTACAGAAGATAAAGCAATAATGGTATTATTAAAGCGAATCTATGATTTACCAGAAAAGTGCAAATTAAGACAACGAATTAAACGTCGCTGAAAGTGGAATACGCAAGAAAAGTACGAAGTTTGCAACAAAATTTACGTTGACGCAATTATTAAATAGCTACATTGAAAGATGTTTTGAATTTATTAAAAAAAAACAATTATTAACTGAAAATCAAATAGTCAGCGACACTTTTTAAATAAACTTACATTATTTAAAGGACAATAAAGTTGTAATAATGCTCTTGTTGTAACTATCGCGCTCATGTTGTATTTGCAAGTAATTGTGATTTACATTATATGTATAATTATTTTTTCATGTATTTGTCAGTTCCTTTTAATTTTTCTTTACAATGTAATAATTATGTTACAACTAATATTTTATATTACAATATAATCTATATATTAATGTAAGTTTTTTGTAATGTATATATTATAGTCTTTAAACTGTGAACCGTTTTTTTCATGTGCATTTGCCAGTTTCTAGAATGTTTAATTTTTTTTATAATTAATAATTATGTTAAAATGTTTCATATTATAATGTATAATTTTTGTATTAATAATATTACTTATTACACTAATTAATGTACTAATAATAAACAATTATGTACATATAATATTATATTCTTTATGTTGAATGATGATTTTTATTAAATAATATATGTATATTAATACATTTATGCATATAAATATATAAAAGCTATATTTTTTAATACACTTCTCAACAAAATTAAAGCACCACTTACTCTACCCTTCAAAAATAGGCAAAATTCAAGAGAGTGTAATTTCGTCAAAAATAATCGTATCGAGATGTTCAAAAAAGCATTTTATAGTTTAAAATCTGTCTCTTATACAC